CTTATACGGCGAGTATATAACAAACTCTGTATTTTGAGTGGAAATGTTAGGGGGTCGTCTTATACGCCCAGTCGTCTTATACGCCGGCAAATACGGTAACCATAAGACCATAGGCTAGCAGTCAGGAGCTAAGACAACACAGTAGGCCCCTTTGTCCCTCTGGGGAGAGACATTTGCCAGCCTGACCAGTACTACATGTTCCAGGCCCTGGGTGACCCCTGCCCTAGCAGTACATGAGATGAAAACACCTCTTTCTGGGCTCCACCCCCCTTCTGTGCAGCATCAGTCTAACAGTCTTCATATGAGGCCCTGGATTGACTTTGGATATTTCCAGGGCTACTGTTACACTTTCTCCACTCTGCTTCAGGAACCCCAGGGATGCAGATTCAATGGAGAGAGCCAAAGTTCCAGGAATACAAAGTAGCGGTGCTTGTAATATTCAAATCAATGCATATTGGGCAGTGGTCCTCCCAACCAGATAGAGGGTAGAGCCTTGGCTTTACTAGCGCCTTGTCATCAAGGGCTCAGTGCAAATGCTACTCCTTAAGGCAGTCTCTGACCATCCAATCTAAAAAGCCAATTACCCTGCTTTGTTTTCTTTATTCCTCTATTTGAATTTGCCTTGTTTGTTTGTTTTGTTTTCTCTTTGTCACGTACACTGGAATATAAGCTCCATGACAACAGTCACCCAGGATCTGTCCCCGTGTCACCGGCGCCTGGAAGAAACAGCGCCTGACCCGGCTGGACAGTCTGGGGAGGGTCGCTCCGGTGGGAGCCGCTTGAGCTACCCTGGATATACGAATGCGAATCAGCCCGCACATAGTAGTGCGGACCCTTTCCCTGGCTCCTCCGTGAAGACAAAGCAGAGCAGCCCCGACTGCAGGGTTCGGCTCTCCGAGCTCACCTCCCCCAAACTTTTCCAGACCGGAAGCATCAGCAGGCGTTTGCGGAAGTGGAGACTTACGGCAGCGGGAACGCCGCTGACGCTTGGAGCGGCGGTGGATACGCTGCTGTGGTGTTCGGCGCCTGTGGGTGCTCACCACCCCACCATTCCCGACCTGGCAACTTCTCTCCCAGCCCACCCATCTCCCCAGGGTGGAATCTCGGGCCCCAGGAGAGCGCACTGGGCGATCCGCGCTCCCCTCTCACGGCGGGATGTGTGTTTGAGGGTTGCCCGGACAACGGTTACTTCCGGGAGCGGAGCTGGGCGAGTCCGGCTGGGTAGGCGCAGGCCGCGACAAACGGCCTTCTCCGACCGTGTGGATTGTTAGCGGGCAGCACCTGCTCCCGGGAACGGATTGCCGGCTCTCCGCGCACCATAGCTGCCCACTCTCCGATTGAAACCTTGAGCTAGTGGCTCCTCAGACTCCGTGTTTCTCTGTTGCTCCTGGCAACAGTCACTTCCGGAAGCGAGTGCCGTTTACCCCCGCACCGCAGGCGCAGGAGCCGTGGGTTCCGGCTTCTAACCGGCGGTCGGCTGTGGCTGCTCGCCCCTCGGGTTTCTGCGGGCCGCGCATCCCGGGCCTTCTCGCCGCCTCGGCGGGGCCTCTGGTGCCGCCATGGTTCTGCTGCACGTGAAGCGGGGGGACCAGAGCCAGTTCCTGATGCAGGCCCCGGGGAACACGGAGCTGGAGGAGCTCACGGTGCAGGTGACCCGGGTCTACAACGCGCGGCTCAAGGTGCAGCGCGTCTGCTCAGGTGGGCCCGGCGGCGCGGCGAGACTGCGGGCCGGGTCGGTGGAGCACGGGCCAGGGCGGGATGGGCTCCCGGGCCGCACAGGGCTCGGGAGGGAGAAGAAACAGGGCCAGGTGGCGACTGAGGAAGTTAAGCGGGAACCACAAGGCTTTCTCGGTCAGGCTGGGGGCGAGGATCAAGTTTGTAAAGATGTGCAGAGACGTGCAGCAGCCGGGCTTGAAATCTAACACCGGGGGGGAGGGAGGGGTTAGGTGGTGATGGTGGTGGTGGGGTTTCCACCAGCGATGCACAAAGAGTGGGCGAACAGGGTGGAGACACCCTGGGAAAAGACGGGGTGGGTGCTGGCAGCGGGAGAGGCCAAGTACGCGCCCCCAAGTGTCTCCGAGCCAGGAATGGGGCGCTGGGAAGAACACACTGTAGACGGGTAGAGAGAGAAGAGGCGCCAGGCGGGAGCCAAAAGACTGGGCGGAGAAGCAGGTGTAGTGGGATCAACAAATGTGAGGGGTGTACGGTCGCTGGCCGTTTTTTGTTTGTTTTTTTTTAGATTTTTATTGGGGAATTGGGGGGATGGGAACAGTGCTGGGGAATTGGGGGAAGGGGAACAGACAAGTTGCTGTCGTTTTGTTCTTCAGTCTA